GCTCTTAGACCCACGCTCTTAGACCCACGCTCTTAGACCCACGCTCTTAGACCCACGCTCTTAGACCCACGCTCTTAGACCCACGCTCTTAGACCCACGCCCTTAGACCCACGCCCTTAGACCCACGCCCTTAGACCCACGCCCTTAGACCCACGCCGTTAAACCCACGCCCTTAGACCCACGCCCTTAGACCCACGCTCTTAGACCCACGCCCTTAGACCCACGCCCTTAGACCCACGCTCTTAGGCCCACTACGTTAAACCCACGCCCTTAGACCCACGCCGTTAAACCCACGCCCTTTGACCCACGCTCATAGACCCACGCTCTTAGACCCACGCCCTTAGACCCACTCCCTTAGACCCACGCCCTTAGACCCACGCTCTTAGACCCACGCTCTTAGACCCACGCTCTTAGACCCACGCCCTTAGACCCACGCCCTTAGACCCACGCTCTTAGACCCACGCTCTTAGACCCACGCTCTTAGACCCACGCTCTTAGACCCACGCTCTTAGACCCACGCTCTTAGACCCACGCTCTTAGACCCACGCTCTTAGACCCACGCTCTTAGACCCACGCTCTTAGACCCACGCTCTTAGACCCACGCTCTTAGACCCACGCTCTTAGACCCACGCTCTTAGACCCACGCTCTTAGACCCACGCTCTTAGACCCACGCTCTTAGACCCACGCTCTTAGACCCACGCCCTTAGACCCACGCTCTTAGACCCACTCCCTTAGACCCACGCCCTTAGACCCACGCCGTTAAACCCACGCCCTTAGACCCACGCCGTTAGACCCACGCTCTTAGACGCACGCCCTTAGACCCACGCCCTTAGACCCACGCTCTTAGGACCACGCCGTTAAACCCACGTCCTTTGACCCACGCTCATAGACCCACGCTCTTAGACCCACGCCCTTAGACCCACTCCCTTAGACCCACGCCCTTAGACCCACGCTCTTAGACCCACGCTCTTAGACCCACGCCCTTAGACCCACGCTCTTAGACCCACGCTCTTAGACCCACGCTCTTAGACCCACGCTCTTAGACCCACGCCCTTAGACCCACGCTCTTAGACCCACGCCGTTAAACCCACGCCCTTAGACCCACGCTGTTAAACCCACGCCCTTAGACCCACGCTCTTAGACCCACGCTCTTAGACCCACGCCCTTAGACCCACTCCCTTAGACCCACGCCCTTAGACCCACGCTCTTAGACCCACGCCCTTAGACCCACGCCCTTAGACCCACGCTCTTAGACCCACGCTCTTAGACCCACGCTCTTAGACCCACGCTCTTAGACCCACGCTCTTAGACCCACGCTCTTAGACCCACGCCCTTAGACCCACGCCCTTAGACCCACGCCCTTAGACCCACGCCCTTAGACCCACGCCCTTAGACCCACGCCCTTAGACCCACGCTCTTAGACCCACGCTCTTAGACCCACGCTCTTAGACCCACGCCCTTAGACCCACGCCCTTAGACCCACGCTCTTAGACCCACGCTCTTAGACCCACGCTCTTAGACCCACGCTCTTAGACCCACGCCCTTAGACCCACGCCCTTAGACCCACGCCCTTAGACCCACGCCCTTAGACCCACGCTCTTAGACCCACGCCCTTAGACCCACGCCCTTAGACCCACGCTCTTAGACCCACGCTCTTAGACCCACGCTCTTAGACCCACGCCCTTAGACCCACGCCCTTAGACCCACGCCCTTAGACCCACGCCCTTAGACCCACGCCCTTAGACCCACGCCCTTAGACCCACGCTCTTAGACCCACGCTCTTAGACCCACGCTCCTAGACCTACGCTCTTAGACCCACGCCCTTAGACCCACGCCCTTAGACCCACGCCCTTAGACCCACGCCCTTAGACCCACGCTCTTAGACCCACGCTCTTAGACCCACGCTCTTAGACCCACGCTCTTAGACCCACGCTCTTAGACCCACGCTCTTAGACCCACGCTCTTAGACCCACGCCCTTAGACCCACGCTCTTAGACCCACGCTCTTAGACCCACGCTCCTAGACCTACGCTCTTAGACCCACGCCCTTAGACCCACGCTCTTAGACCCACGCTCTTAGACCCACGCTCTTAGACCCACGCTCTTAGACCCACGCCCTTAGACCCACGCCCTTAGACCCACGCCCTTAGACCCACGCTCTTAGACCCACGCTCTTAGACCCACGCTCTTAGACCCACGCCCTTAGACCTCCAACTTGCTCCAGATTGCTCCGTTGCTCCGGCTGCCCATGCTCGCAGGCCGGAAGGCACACACACACACGCACGGGCAGAGAGACACGCAGACACAGAAGAGGCACCAACAAGAGGGAGGGTTATTACCAGCAGGAGGGGAGTGACGGAGTGAAAAGCAAGAGACAAGACGACTGTTGCCTCTGCGCGGCGACGCTCTACGACTCACTACACTCCCCCCTGCAAGCACCCCCTGGCGCGTACCACACTCTGTCCGCTGCTCTGCCACTCCTGCACCACGCCTTCCCTTCACGCCTGCTGCTCCAAGTTGCTCCAGGTTGCTCCGCTCTGGCTGCCCATGCTCGCTGGTCATGAGGCGAACACACACATGCATGGGGAGAGAGACACGCACAAAGAAGCGGCACCAACAAGGGAGGGTTAGAAACAGCAGGAGGCGAGTGGCACAGGAAAAAGCAAGAGACACGACTCTTGCCTCTGCGCGGCGACGCTCTACGACTCACCACACTTTTGCCCCACAGCCATCTCGTTCGTACGTACCGTTGATCTTCGCCTGATTGTCAACGATCTTCCCCTGATTGTCAATGATCTCCAAGCAAACGCTCGTGAGCTTTGAATGAACGCTTGCAGCCTTCGTACTCCGAGCGACGCCTGGCGATTGTTGAAGTGCTTGGCGACTACAGCGTCGGCGACGACCCGAAATCCGTTCCTCAGATTTAGTCGCACACATGCAGAGAGGGGAACGAGGAGGACAGGGGGAGAAGGAGGGGACAAGAGTTAATGGGAGGGTAGTTTCACGGATGACGCGAAGGAGGAGAGCGACGAAACTCTCTAAGCGTCCCTATCCTAGACGCCTACATCTTCCCCCCCACGAAGCCTCGCTCTTACGTACCATTGTCCTTTCCCTGATCGCCAACTATTTTTCAAGAGAACGCTCGCGAGCTTCGAGCGACGTCAGGCGATTCTGGGAATGTCTGAAGCAACCTTGGTCCGACACTGCGGCGATGGCGACCGTCCAAATCCCGTCCGTGCTTCGAACACACACGCGGATGGGAGATCGGCGGGAGGACAGCAAGAGAGAAAAGGCACACGCGTTAGTGGGAAGCTTTATTTAAACGTGACGCGATGAAGGAAAGCGACGAGACTCTCTAGGCGGTGCTGCTCTAGACGCCTACATGATTCCCCCCACCAGACTTCGCTTTTACGTACAATTAATCATTCCTTGATCGCGTGCGAAATTCAAGGGAACGCCGAGGAACTTGATGCGAACGCATGCGATCCTCATGTCGTACGGCCCAGAGCAATATCTCGCGTGCTGCGTCACGCTGCTTCTGACGGCCGCGTCCTGTTGACCATTTCGACGCATCGGAACGTCCACTTCTTGACGCTTGCGATGCCGGTCGGCGAACACTTCTGCTGCCATTTGCGAACAGCTGCTTTCCGCCGCTGATTCGTACTCCGAAAAACGCTGCGTTGTTCCCGGCCGGAAATATCGGGAAACGTGTGTTTCATGCCAGCTTCCACGGCTGATATTCCATCACTCGGACTGAAGGATGCTGCTCTTGGCACTAAGCCAAGACTCGCCGAGCAACTGCTTCCGTCGCACGAGCTTCTCATGATTGGAAAGACCAGTTCCGGATAATATACATGTCGGCTGTTGCGTCATGTCGCCTTGTCGCCGCGTCTCTTCACTCTAGAGTTTCTCAGGTCGCTGGAGGGCAAGCAGAGACAGTCAGGAACCTGAGAAGCGGTTCGCTGCTGTGAGACGCCGCCGTCGCAAAGATTTTCGCTAAGCGTCGCAACCGTCGTACAGCAACGTGCGACGGTGCATCAGTGAGAAATCATTCTCAAAGTGAACTGTATCAACGCTGAGCCTAGCTGATCTACATTAGCACGAGCAGCAGATTCTTCTGGAAGTTACCCCTCGCTAAACGAAACGAAGACGACACTAGGAGCTTTGTTCTAAGGAGCTTAATGTATAACATTGTCGGAACTTAGCACCGCCTGGCAGCTGATTAATGCGAAGCTGAGTTGTGGACTAGTACCAGACAGAAGCAGTACAGGAACCACAGGCTATAGACAAATTAAAGTACCCAGCTATTATTCAATAGTAACTCATCGGTCTAATCAGCTCGAACCGTCGCTACACTGTTGCAGAAGCTACGCGACCTAAGTCGGGAACATGGAGGACTGATCTACCGAGGAGAGCTAGTACCAGGTGCAGTGACTTGCGTACTGACTAGTGACCCGGGAGGGGAGGAAAGCCCTCGGATGTGAAATTGAGAATGCCTTGGGAGGAGTTCCGCCGCTGAGGAAAGCAAAGCTGCCGCCGAGTGGCGGTAAGGGAATGGGATTCAGCTCGGCTGGCCCGCGCTTCGTTGGTGTGGAAGCTTTCTGACATGCTCGTAAGCTGATTGGACAGAAGTTGCGCGCCAAATGTCTCCCAGTTTGAAAGCTTACGGTATCGCAAGCGATACCTGTGCGGGTCTTGCTCGCTTTGTGAGCGATACCTGTGCGGGTCTTGCTCGCTTTGTGAAAGACATCAAAAGAACCATTCGAATATATTTGGACACTATCATGGAGAAATGGGATGTTGAAAGGATAAGGGAAATACAATCATTTATGGTTTGCCGTCAACCAGGAATACCTATACATTTGCAAGCAAGCGTCATAGTTTCTGAAATTCTCAAACATCCAGACGAAGTTCATGAAACATTTATGGCATACAGGTGGCAACGTGGTGGTCACATGCTGGTGGTAAAGCTTTGCCGAACGATAAAAATTATCCAGCAATCACTTGGCTTTCCGCCGGAGCTCATACAGGTACCCCAGAACAAGAACTCCAGCAGTGACAACAGCACCAAAAGCACTTTGGGCCAAGATGGTGGATGCACTAACAGTCTCCTTGCCTGCAGCATCAGCTTCCCAAAATGCTGGAGAGGTATCCTTGCACCCAAGCTCAGACATTTTCTTGTGCGCAGATGCGTAGTCCCTGAAAAACGCCTCCTCATCCTGCAAAATGCAACGGAAGGTAAAATGGACCCATAAGTACTCATACACCTCCAACCCAACTCCTGGAACAATCGCAACAGCCCTCTATTGCTTACCTTAGCATACAACTCAACAAATGGACGAAACTTGGGGTCCTCTACAAGGCACTTGTCCGTGGGAAGCTGGAGTAGTCCAGTAGCATCTCCTTTCAAAAGCTCACTGTTGTAGGGGCACAGGGAAAATTATGCCAACACAGACTGCATGAGTGCCACACGCTTCTGACACAACAAAAATATGCTCAATCCTTGACTGAGTTGTTCAAACTCACACATAGTAGGTGTTGTCAAACTTCAGTGGTTGCTGCGTCCATGCCCCCTCAAAGCCCGAACGATCCTTATGTGCACGCCCCTGCATGCACACTCGAAGTTCAATCACACAATGTCTCATGTGCTTGCAAGGATGTGAGTTTGAGCGGTGGCTTACCAGTGTGTGTGATCCACTCAATGCAACGATGTCTTGATCGCTGAACCCCATGCGGAAAAATATATCTCGTAGGTGAGCAGATCCTGAAACAGACGGTAGGCATTGGAAAAGATGACTCACATGCTCACACGAGCAATCACGAAGCCCCCAATACCACCAAATGCAGTTCAAGAATACAGGGTGGGGACAATTCGCCTAAATTCACACACCTTTATGAGCATCTGGCAGTCTGCCGTCAGGAGTGACAGCCAGGGAGTCCTGCTCAACCAGCGCCCGGACAGCCAGAGAATGAGTTATGAGCACAAGAAAACTCACGTGGAGAATATGGAGGATTGTGCATGCGCTCACCTTTCGGCCGGCCTTGAAAGGGATGGTGGGACCTCCAGTTACTTCAACAGCTACCACGCCAGCTAGCTGCTCAATCGAGACAATAGTGAGTTAAAGCGCCAACAGAAGACTGACAACAGGCAAATGAGGACGAAGCACATGGTGCGAACCAAGATCGCACCTGGTAAATGTCGGCGTATGTTACTCGTGGATGCTTCGCCTTGACCGGCTCTGCAGATAGGAAACACTGCAATGAGTGCTTATCCGTCACCAGCCCTGCGAATTGCGAAAATGACATGTAATCTCACCAAGCAGGTCGATGCCTATCTTCATCCCCGCGTTTCCGCCATGTGTGTATTCCAGCTCGCTTCTGATCGAGGCATTCGGTCCGCCGCTTCTCGTCTTCGCGTCATAAGTGCCAGCATCGTGGAACCTAGATTCAATTCACATGCACAAAGACGCAACACAATCGCATTGCTATCTCTCGTAATAATTTATAGACCGTATGAAATAGATGCGACGAGGTTCGGTGTCTTACGCCAAGCGGAGCATAAGCGGAGCGCAGCTCTTCTCCGCGATTAACGCTCGCAAGTCTCGCCTGACCGCCTCAATCTCCTTCAAGTAATCCGCGTCAACCGTAGGGGCCTGCATGATTCCTTCTTCGCAGAAATCGGCCTACTAACAAGCAAACCTGAACCTGAAGAGAAAACGGCAAGCTCTCACGAAATATGGAACGCGAAACGGTCAGACGACACGGCGTCTTTGTGGATAATAAGCAAGCAACACGAAGAAACTACTAGCAGAAATGCAAGCTGAAGAAATTTGTTCCTCTCACTGACGCTGACACTAGGAAACAGTGAACTACCGAGACGAGACGCTGATTGGCTGTGAGAAAAGAGAAGGTCGAAGAAGAAACTGGGGGAACAATGGGGCAAAGCTGGGCCAGTGCGTGGACCCAAGCAGACGAAACCTTGAAGTTGGCCAGCTCATGAACGAGGGGTTGCTGGCGTGGCACGGGCCACGTGCGCCAGCAAAAAGTGGTCCCTCCTCTCCCTCAATATTGTCTCTATATACGCGTTTGAAACAACATCAGCTGAGGGATTAACTCATTAAGAGCACTTACAGCGAATCCGGAAAGGGTTGTATCATTCTACGCAATCCCGATGGGTGACCAGCAAAAATGGTGATCTTCATCCAATGAATCTAATGCATCCATCTTTTCTTTGCCCAATAAAAAGTCAAATATTTCAGCATTCTCTGCAATCCGGCTTGCGCTCACAGACTTAGGAGTAAGGCGTTCAGCAACAAGCTGCCTTGCGCCTATTGCAACAATCAGTCAGGCAACCAGATGCAATTGGTAGGCAACCCGCTCTTGCATGGCTTACCTACATTGATTATCGACTGCACAAATTCCACACATGTCACCACTTGCCACCCCTTGTCACCACTTGCCACCCCTTGCCTACCGTGTTCAGCACTATTGGCTTGAGATTTTACGGCTCAAAAGCGAAACATTTGATAGCATCCGAAATGAACTGGTAGCAAATAGGTGCTCACCTGGTAGCAACAGAGACCCTCCTGGCCACACCCCAGGAGAGAGTAAACTGCCACACAGATGCCATGTTCCGCACAGTAGACTAATGAGTCAACTCAGAAACCACCTGGTAGCAACAGAGGCTCACCTGATACCAACAGAGACCCACCCGGCCACACCCCAGGGGGGAATAAGCTGCCACACAGATGCCACGTTCTGCACAGTAGGCCCGCAGAGGCCGCTGAGTCAGCAGCGGGTGCACCTCCACCTGGTTGACAGCTGGCAGGGTGGCCGAGTTTGTCATCAAGTGGTCGAGATGGGCGGCAGTGAAGTTGCTGACTCCAATGGCGCGGCATTTACCTGGGAGGGGAGAGAAGGCAGGCGTTATGAAAATGGTGGTGGAAGACAGAGCATAATAGGACTCTCTAGCCACTTCTTGCCTTTCTTCTACCCCTCTCCACCCCTCTCTATCCCCTTCTGCCCCCATCCCCACTACTCCCTTCCCCTCTATCCCCCTCCCCTGCCCCCCACCTTCTCTCTGAAGCTGCTCCAGGGCGCGCCAAGACTCCAGGCGAATCTCGGCATTCTTCTCACACGCTCTGGCACTGCATGTACTCTGCTCTACTCCTCTCCACCGCACTCTACTCCCCTCTATCCCTTCAACCCACCCACCTTCTCTCTGAAGCTGCTCCAGAGCGCGCCAAGACTCCAGCCGAATCTCGGCATTCTTCTCAGACGCTCTGTGCGGACAGGTGGAGGGGAGCAGTGTGGGAGGGAGAGGAAGAGTAGGGGGAGATAACAGAGTTCTGAGACGCCTCAATGCAGGAAGTTAGGGGTACGAGCAGAAACAAGGGGCAGCAGTGGGAGGAAAGGCAGGCAGGAAGGGCTGACTCACTCACCTATCTAGCTTTGCCACTCCAGGCCTGGGAATGCGGGAGGGAGCAGAGGGGAGAAAGGGGAGAGGATAGGAGAGGGGAGGTTGAGGAGAGGAGAGGAGACGAATGTCAGTGCAAACACAGGTGCAGAGAGAAGGGTGTATGATTGTGTCAGAAAGTCACGCTTGGCACACGGGCAAGAGGAACGGAGCAAGTGAATGGTAGCACAAGTGATGGCAGGAGAAGGGACGACTGTAAGAGTAAGGGGGTGCGGGCGGGCGATGGCGAGAGAGGAGAACACACCAGTGCAGTGCAAGGAACGGACCAAGGTAAGGGAAAAAGGGGGAGGGCAGGGAAGGAGGGCAGGGAAGGAGGGCAGGGGGATGAAGGGCACGCACCAGTGCAGCAGGTAGAGGTCCTGGTAGGGTCAAGTGGCGGGTTGGACCGAGGGGCACGACGCATGGAGGGAGAGTGGGGGCCGGGAGGGCGAGGGCAAGGGACAAGAGTGAGGGGGGAAAAGGGCGCACCAGTGCAGCAGGTAGAGGTCCTGGTAGGGTCAAGTGGCGGGTTGGACCGAGGGGCACGACGCATGGAGGAGCGTGAGATAGAGGAGGGAGGTGAGTGAGGGGAGAGAGGAGAGTGAAGGCTTCAATTGTCCTGAGGAATGTGTGAGCGACTCTTGGAGTGGACATGGCAAAAATCTCCACACTCACTCATACAATCTTGCGCCATCACACACTCAATCAATCATGCTCGCTCACTCACCCACACTCACCAGGTAGTCTGTTTGCAGGAGATCCATGGACGCCGTAGATGCACACTCACTCACACACCATCTCAAACTCATGCACATCACCGTGTACACACTCTCCTATCTTGTTCACTCACTCCGTTTCACTCACTGGCACTCCCCAGGTAGTCTGTTTGCAGACGCTCCAAGGACGCCACACATGCGCACACTCACTCACACACTCAAACCCATGCGCATCACCTTACTCTTACACACTCTATCTAACTCCCTCTCACTCACACTCACCAGGTAGTCTGTTTGCAGGCGCTCCAACGACGCCGCACATGCTGCTAGAGCCTGCTGGAACCTGGCGTGAGGGAGGGCGAGGGAGTGAGCGAGTGAGCGAGTGAGTGAGTGAGTGAGTGAGCGAGTGAGTGAGTGAGCGAGTGTGCATGTGGGTGAGTGAGCGAGTGAGTGAGTGAGAGCAGACTGCATCGGAGGTGCCTCACAAACATGCACCAAGCTATGCAATTCATGCCGTGGGGGCGAGTGTGATTGAGTGCACAGTGCACGCACTGACGTGCACAGCCGTACACACCCACAGCCATGCTTACCCATGCTCGTAGGGCGAAGCCTTGGACGTGATAAAAACATCCTCCCTTGCAATGCCGTACTCCCTAATAGCCTCCCCGATTTCCGCTTCGTTCTTGTACACTGATGCAGTATCTGCATTGAAAAAAAAGAAATCACAGCTTTTAGATGGGACAAGTGATATATGTGATACAGCATAACCTATTGCCCACCCATGTGCCCACCCATGTGCCCACCTGTGTGCCCACCCATGTGCCTCCCATGTGCCCACCTATGTGCCTGTATCCAGCTGCCAGTGCTGCTTTAACTGCCTCCTTCACCTCCCCCCCTTTGGCCTTGAATGTGCCCACTGCACGCGTACAAGCATGCAAGCATGCACATACACACATGCGCACACATGCATGCAAGCATGCACATACACACACAGGCATACACACATGCACACACATGCACAAACGCAGGCATGCACAGGTGCACAAACACACAGGGAGAGAATTGGGACAGAGGCGAGGAGAGAGGAGAGGGCACGAGAGAGGGACAGGTCTACACATGCAACGAGAGAGGGCGAGGAGAGGCACGGAGGGAGGCGGGGAGGGGGATGGCGCGACAAGGAGAAGACTGGAAGTGTGGGAGGGAGAGGGAGAGTGGTGGAGAGGAGGGGGTATAGCTAAGGCAAGGAGGAAATGAGAAGAGGTAAGTTGGGGGAAGGGGGAAGTATGGGCATGGACAAGAATGGAAGGGGGGGAGAACTGGAAGGGCGAGGAGAGGGGCAGGCGCGGGGAATATGGAGGAAGGGAAAGGAGGAGTAAGGGGGGTATGGAACAGGGGGGGAGGGCGGAAGGGGGAGGATGGAAGAGGGGTACGGCTCCAACGGAGGGGACTGGATAGGGGGCGGAAAGGGCGGAAAGGGCGGAAAGGGAGGAAGGGGCGGAAAGGGCGGGAAGTGCGGGAAGGGCGGGAAGGGCGGACGGGCGGGAAGGGCGGGAAGGGAGGGAAGGGCGCACAGGCGAGGCGGGGAATGGAGGTGCCACTGGCGAGGCGGATGGGCGATGTCAAATCCATGGCTGCGCGCGGATGGCTCTGAGACGTCTCAACGCACTGATGGCTTGGCCTCGAGGCTCCGCGCCCGGAGGTGCGCGCGCGAGCAGTTGAAGCGAGCAGGCGAGGGCGACTGTCCTGAACGCTGTTCCGCGCGCCACAAGCGCGGGCGGAAGTGCGGGCGGAAGCGCAGGCGGAAGCGCGTGAGGACAATGGGGGTCTGTGTCCGGGGCGCCGTGCGTAAGGGGGGGTTTCGAGCAGGAGCCTGAGACTAGACGAGATCGGGAGCGTGGGGCGGAACGATAAGAGAGTCGTGCGATGCGATGCGATGCGATGCAACAAAAGCCCAAATGTGGAAAAAAAGAAGGGCAGAAAAGAGGCAGGGGTGCTCCGAGAATCGAACTCGGGACCTCTCGCACCCGAAGCGAGAATCATACCACTAGACCAAGCACCCAGATGACATCTGGTCTCCAGTGTTTTTCTAAACCGATTTGATCAACGACTGTCGCCTCTTGCCTTTCCGCACAGTTTTTTTTGGGAATGCGGAAGCCATGAAGCGCCAACAGGCCACCATCTCTCGTTTCTTCGCGCGCAAGCCGACCCCAGCGCAATCACCCCCGCTTCCCACCTCGCCCGCGCCATCCCCTTCCCCCACACAGCCGCCAGGCGCCGTCCGCGTCACCACTCCGCCATCCCTCCTCCGCCCGCCGCGCTCCTCCTCCGCCGCCGCCACCAGCGCCGACGGTCGCGGTGATCGTCGCGGTGGTGATGGTGGCGGCGGTGGCGGCGGTGGTAGCGGTGGTAGCGGTGGTTTGAGAGAGATCGGATCGGCGGAAGCAGAAACTGAGAACGGGGTAGCCGCGGGGGCAGCTGGGGAAGGTCGGGGTTGGCGGAGAACAGGAAGGGGGGGAGAGCGGGGGAATGGGGGCGGAAAGGAGTGGGGGGCAGAGGGGAAGGCGGAGGGGAAAGGGGATGAGGTAGGAGCGGAGGGGGAAGGCGGAGGAGTGGTGTTCAAGCGGAAGCGGGCGGGGGGAAGGCGGGCAGCGCGGAGACTAGTGACGGATGGGGGTGCGGATGAGGGGGATGGGGGAGAAGAAGAAGGGATGGGGCCACGAATGGGGGAAGACGAACGGGGGGAGGGAGAGGGGCGGAGTAAGAGGGCTCGGGGGGGAAAAACAGGGGTGGAAGAGGTGGGGGTAGAGACAGGGGGAGGGATATGGGAGGATGAAATTGAAGAGGGGAGAGCGGAATTGGCGGAAGGGGAAAGGGGCAAGGCGCTTGTAGAACCTGCTTCTCCTGCTGCCGCTACTGCTGCCAGTGCTGCTGCAGCTGCTCCCACAACCACCTCTGCCGGCCCACTCTCTGCAATTCGAGCCAGCTTACTAAAAAAACTTGACTCTAATCCTTCCGCTCCTCATCCCACACCCGCCGCCGCCGCCACCACCACCACCACCACCAAAGGCGGGAGCGATTTCATCCCCGGTATAAGCCTCCCCCTGCCAGGCACAAAGCTCACCCCGTTAGAAGAGCAGGTCGTGGCTCTGAAACGCCGCCACCCAGACGTTCTCCTATTGGTCGAGGTCGGCTACAAGTACCGTTTTTTCGGGGCCGATGCTGACGTGGCGGCGCGCGTGCTCGGCATCTACTGCCACGTGGACAGGGCGTTTCTGACGGCATCGATCCCCACGTTCCGCCTGCACGTGCACGTGAGGCGGCTGGTGGAGGCGGGCTTTAAGGTGGGCGTGGTGCGGCAGAGCGAGACGGCGGCAATTAAAGCCCACGGGAGCAACAAGGCTGGCCCGTTCGAACGGCATTTGTCGGCTTTATACACGCGGGCAACGCTGGAAGCTGGGGAGGATCTGGGAGGGGAAGGGGGAGTGGGTGAAGGGGCTGGGATTGGGGGAGGGGGAGGGGGGATGGGGGGAAGGTTGAGTAGTTACTTGGTTTGTATAGCAGAGGAGAGTGTTGGGGAGGGAGGGAAGGGGAAGAGGGAAGCAGGGAAGGGAGGTGCTGGTGGTAGCACTGCTGCTGCTGCTTCCTCTCCTGGCCCATCCCCACCAGCCATGGATCTGGACTCGTCTCAGGGCTGGGAAGCAGGTTTGGGAGCAGGCTTGGGTAGAGGCTCTGGTGCAGGCTCGGAAGCAGGTTCGGAGGGTGACGTAAGGATAGGGCTGGTGGCAGTGGAGACGTCAACAGGGGACGTGGCACAGGGGTGCTTCACTGATGGCGTGCTACGAGGAGAACTTGAGACCCACCTTGCCCACTTTGCCCCCACTGAGATTGTGCTTACTGGACCCATAACGTCAGCCACTCACAAGGTGACTGCCCTCACTGCTCTCAGTGCTCTGGAATAGTGCGCTCTCCCTTCCCCCCCTTCCCCCTTCTGTATTTCCCCTTGTCTAAACTCCCCTTCCCCGCTCGACCGGCCCTCACCTCTTCCCCCTCCCCCCTCCGCTCTTCCCGCTTTCCTCCTCTCCCGTCAATCCCATCCCCTCCGCCATCCCCCCCCCCCCTGCCGCTCCCCCCTCCCGCCATCAGCTCCTGTCGTACCTCACATGCCGGGACCCCGCACCAAGAATCACCACGGCAGGGGCAGATGGGACTGCTGGTGCTGCAGTTGGTGGGGGAGGCTCTGGGAAGGCTGGGGACAGTGGTGGTGGAAGCAGCAGCAAAGGCAGCGGCAGCAGCATGTGTGGGGTGCGTGCAGCTCTTGCAGAGTTCTTTGCTATGATGCCAAACGGAGCTGCTTGTACTGAGGACGCAGGCAAGGGGCATGAGAATAAAAATGGAGAGAGGAAGGAGGAGAGGGATGAGCAGCAGGAGCCTGAGCGTCAGCAGGATGAGCAGCAGCAGGAGGTAGACCCAGCAGTGGAGGCGGTGCTCTCCATGCCACCGGTGCTGCTCAGAGCGCTGGCTGCTGCTGTGGACTATCTGAGGGAGTTCAACCTGCACCACGTGCTCGCTCTGGGCGGAGGCTTTCGTCCTCTCTGCACCGCCCACCAGATGACTCTCTCCTCCAATGCTCTCGAGCAGCTCGAGGTGAGCCTTAAAGCCCCCTTTTAGATGTTCTCAGAAACACCCACCCACGTGGACCAAGGTGCGCCCGTGGACCAAGGCGCGCCCGTGGACCAGGTCGCGTCCCCCTATGAAAGACTCGTTTCCCCCCTCCCCACCCTCCTCCCCGTTTTCCCCTTGGACGTCACAGATCATGCACAACAGTGCGGACGGCAGCACACGCGGATCCCTCCTCTGGCTGCTCAACCACACGCTCACAGCCATGGGGGGGCGCCTCATGCGCCACTGGGTCACCCACCCCCTCACCCACCTGCCCCATATCACCCTCCGCCAAGAGGCCGTTTCCGAGCTCCTCTTCTCCTCCCCCTCGCTCTCCTCTTCGGTGATTGGCTCGCTGGGCCGTGCGGCCGGCGTGTCTCGGACGTTTCCTGGGAGCGGGCGGGGAGGGGGGGCGGTAGGGGCGGCGAGCAGGGGGGCGGGGGAGGAGGAGGGAGGACTGGGGGAGGTGGTGCGGGGAGTGCTGGGGTCGCTGGCGCGGATGGGGGATGTGGAGAGAGGTGTGACGCGGATACTGCACAAGACCGTCACTCCCAACGAGGTGGGTATGCTGTGTCATAGAGGAGCTCTGGGGTCAGCTAGTTTGTGAGAATTTGATGTCAATAAAACAAGAAAATCTGATGCAGAAAGCACCCTCTTTCCAGTGTCTGCTCTGCACAAGGGGGTCTCCATCACACCCCCCCTTATCTTCCCCCCTGCACATCCCCCTCAGTTCGTCCGAGTGCTCTCAGCCCTGGCGTCTGCAGCACAGCAGCTTCGCTCCCTCCTCCCCGACCCACCTCATTCCACCCCAGCCACTGCTGCTGCTACTGACACCGACCGCGACAGCAGCAGCAGCGCTCCTAAGGTGCAGTCGGCGCTGCTGCAGCGGCTGCTGCGCGCAGCAGCATCGCCAGCCGTGGTGCGCCACGCCCGGCGCATGCTGAGTGCCGTGGACGCTGACGCTGCTGCCCGGGGAGACAAGGTGAACCTCATTGTATGCGCGGCCCCATCCCACCACAGACAGCAACAGCAACATGACAGTGATCGCCGCATTCGAGACGCCCTGGACGAAGACGAAACAGCAGAACCTTCCCTACAGTTTCCGGAGCTCTGGGCGTGCCGGGAAGCCGTGCGGGAGGCAGAGGGGCACCTGAACTCGCTCCTCCCGGCCATCCGGTCCCAACTGCGCCTCCCCTCCCTCTCCTTCTTCTCCGTTTCCGGTGCCACTCATCTCATAGAGGTCCCCTCGGCTCTCAGAGTCCCTTCTGATTGGCTCAAACACAGCGCCGTGAAGGCCGGTAAGTCCGGAGGCGTTACGCGTTACCACCCGCCAGCTGTCCTCGCGGGATTGGACAGGCTGGCGTTGGCGAAGGAAGCTGCAGCGGCAGCAGCAGGGAGGGCGTGGCAGGAGTTGTTGGAAGGGTTTAGGGCGGAGGGAGGGGGCCATGTGGAGCTAAGGCAAGCTGTAAAGGCACTAGCTGAGCTGGACTGCTTGTGTGCGCTTGCTGCTGTTTCTTCTTCTAAGGGGTACGTTCGGCCGGAGTTTTTCCCAGAAGATGGGCCCCAGAATGTGCTTATAACGAATGGGAGGCACCCCGTGCTGGATGTGACTATGGGGAGCGAGTTTGTGCCGAATGACACCATGCTGATGTCAGCAGGGGAAAGGTGCCACGTCATCACTGGTCCCAACATGGGCGGCAAGAGCTGTTACATCCGCCAGGTGGCTCTGATATGCATCATGGCTCAGATTGGGTGTTACGTGCCTGCTGACTCAGCGCGCCTCCATGTCTTGGATGCGGTTCTGACGCGCATGGGAGCGGCTAATGACAACCTGGCACGCCGCACATCGACGTTTCTGGAGGAGCTGGGGGAAGCTTCTGGGATCCTGCGTCGGGCAACGAGTCGGTCGCTGGTGATAGTGGATGAGCTGGGTCGAGGGACCAGCACCCATGATGGCGTCGCCATCGCGTATGCCACCCTGCATGTGAGCTATCAATTTAATTCAAAATTCGTAGGCATATGCCATGCTGCATGTGAACTACTGCCACCCTGCATTTGAGTTTACCTGGTGTGTACTTGCCTCAAACCTATGCTGTTTGAAGCCTGACGTTTTACCTCCCCTCCTCCCTTCCTCCATGGCTCCCTCCCCTCCTTTCTCCCTGCCCCATGCACAGTACCTTCTCTCCAAAGTGCGATGCCTCACACTCTTCGTCACACACTACCCCGAAATTGCTCAGCTGGAAAAAGAGCTCCCTGGAGCAATGGGAAGCTTCCACATGTCCTTCCTCGCCTCCACTCCACCAGTTCCCCCTCCATCAGCAGCACCATCAATTTCTGCAAGCGGACAAAAACAATTGTCAGATCCTGCTGCATCTGGCTCAGCTGAGCAAGGAGAGGCAAAGCCGGACCAGCAGGTCACCTTTTTGTACAAGCTCGTCCGTGGGGTTGCCAGTCGCAGTTTTGGCCTGAATGTAGCCCGCCTTGCTCAGGTGATTATTGCTGACGCGCAAGCAGGTTCATACATGGGTTTCTGCTTTGTAGTTGTCCTTTAATTCCTCGTCCTCTTCTCATTGCCTTGGTTATATGTGTGCAGGTGCCTGAGAGTGTTGTGCAGCGAGCAGCTGCCATGGCTGCAAAGCTAGAGCATGATGTGCTGGAGCGCAGAAAGAGCAGGAGAAGTGAGGCTGCTTCCGTGAGGAGAGCTCATGGAGACTTCTCTTCCCAATCAGTTCTTCCTCCAGATGAGGGAATCACCAACGAGACAAAGCTTCATGAAGCAGCCTGTCCAAAAACTGGAGCTGATGACTATGGAAACAACCTCCAAGGGGAAGAGGAGCTGCTGAATGCTGTCAAGCAGTGTCTATGGCTTGTTCAAGGCGTTCAGGCAAAGGACACCGCACAAGAGGAATCCAGCATGCAGTTGCACTTGGATCGGATTTGTCAACTCCATGAATCTATTCAAAAGATAGAGCATTTTCGTAATGACATGCATTAGATGCTTTGTGTTTTTAAGTTGGCGCTGGTTATTATTAATAATTCTGTAAGTATTGATACAAGTCAGCAAGTTGAATAATCAAGGATACTTTGAGCAATGATACTTTACTTTTACAGGTCAGAATTGTCAGAAATTGTTGAGCCTTGCAAGGATCTCATAGGTATCTTGGCTTCACAAGAATCCACCTAAGCCTCAGCTTCTAGGCAGACCTTCTTGGCGCCTGTCTCGTCCTCCGACGCCTCAGCCTTCCTTTTGGTCGAGATGGTGGTAGTCGTTTCGGTAGTGGAAGGGACTGCATCCGCAGAAGCAGGCACTTCAGGGACCTTTTCAGCCTCGACTTCAACAACGTCACTATCAGGTGTCGTCTCGTCATCCTTCTTCTCCTTGTCCTCGGCCGCTGGCTCGCTGTCCGCGTTTGCGGAGGGCTTGACGTCAGTCGACGATTTTTCCTCTACCGAATTCTTTGTTTCCTGCAGAAGTAGTTGTTAGTATCATTCTCGGGGTGAGAAAAAAGCACTTTCAAGTCGTGTACTGAAATTCGAAGTACCTCTGAAGGCTTCTCAGTGACTTCAACAGCATCGACCTTCTTCTCCTCGACCTGCTGTGCAACAGCCTGATCGTTAACTTCATTGTTGGAGCCGGCCATGGTCGTTGGTACGAAAATGTAGTGCCACGCACAGATTCTTGGCAGGGAAGTGAGCAGATGAGAGCTGAAATTGGTGATTGTGAGAGCGACTGACTGAACGGTTCCAAGATCGTCAAATTTGTACTTGGCACGGACTGGCGCGATGGCCCATCACAAACCGAAGCGCGGCGCTTGGGGGCTGTCGCGGAATCACCGGCGGGGACAGTGCTGAGCCTTGGGATTACACCTGGTACAGCGAGATTGGAGTTCTCGAGCCGCTTGATTTTCTTGGGACTACCAGCTGTGGAGCGCCAATTTCAAAAGGGATTTACCGCAAACATCACAAGAAATACATGACAAATTATGCGATGTTCTGTATACATTTTATACAGACAATCACTCATCGAAATTATCACAATGATTTTGAGGTAAAATGAGAAACCAGCCAAGATATGCATTACACGAAGAGCCCTATCTCACTAATTCTGGGGTATAGTTAAAAACCATACAAGACATGCATTAAAGGAGAAACTCCTTACAGGTCCCTATCTTTCCACACAAGCTTGGCAGCAACAAGATCTTCTAAGGCCAATCCTACTGACTTGAACACACAAATATCCTTATTAGCATTCCTCCCATGCACACGTTCAGAACATAGCTCGAAGAGGCCTCCTCCAATGTCCTTCTCCAGTATAGCACCGCTAGTGATCGGCTTCATAAGGTCCCCAGATCCTGTAATAGCATCACCATCCTTGGAATCCACAAATATTGACCCTTTGGCTGCAATCATGACATCATCATCCGCTTCACGCATATCCGGACGAAAACCACCAACCAAATCCACATGGGCTCCACGCTTCAACCACCGTCCACACACAAGTGGTTCCGTTGCAAGCGTGGCACAGGAAACGATATCTGCCATGCGCACCCCACGCTCTAGATCGCTCACAACCTGCACGCACACTCCACACGTTTCTTGCCCCTCTGATACATCCGACAAGGAATTCCCCTCCGACTCAATGAGATGAAATCTTGGGTCGGAGGAGATCAGATCCTCAGCCGTTTGCTGGGCCTTGAAGAGAGTGCGGCCCCAAACGAGCACGTAGCGGAGGGAGGGGGTGGCTGAGAGGTGGGCGAGGATGAGGTGGGGAGCAAGGTTGCGTGTGCCCACCATGAGAAGCACCTTGGAGTCACGGCTGCAGGGAGGGGAGCAAGCAATGAGGGATAGTAAATGCAAAACAGACGGAAGAAAAGTAAGGGAAAAGAAAAGCCGAGGAACTAGAGCGGGGAGAGGAGAGGGATGGTTGGGGGTTGAAAAGCCGAGGGGAGAGGGCGAAAGAAAGGGAGGTGGAAGGCGGAAGCAGTGATGCTTCATTTACCGAGCGAGGTAGTGCGCAGCGAGGGCAGAAGCGGCAGCGGTGCAGCGGAGCGTGATGGCCGTGCCGTCCATGAGGGCGAGGGGGGCGCCAGTGGCAGCAGAGGAGAGCAGGTAGCTGGCTGCCACCGATGGCAGGCCGTGTATGGCATTGCCAGGGAACACTGTCGCGAGCTTCACACCCAGGAAGGGCTCTGCAAGGGAAGAGGCACAGGAGCCATGGTGCGAGTTGCGTGAGCAAAGAAGTGACTTGAGATGTCTCAACAATAAAAGTGACTCTGCCATGCAGCACTGAAGGAACTCTTTTTGTGGGTTCCAGCACAGCTGTACAGCTGTAATCCAGCATTCGTCCCGCCGTCACATTTGCTGTGGTTTCACATTTTCCTGCAGCATCCGTAGCCATAAGTACAATGGACCCTCACCTTCCGTGCCACTATTCGAGTCCCAAGCCGGCATCACCAGCAGCGTCCCTCCTGCCTGCTGCTTCCCCTCCGCTGTGTTCCCTCCTCCACTTCCCCTCTCTCCTCCTTCTCCTCCGTCTCCTCCGCTTTCCCCCCTCACTTCCGGGTTGTCTGCTGCCCCAGACCTAGCATCCGTCCCGTTATTAGCATCCTCGCCGTCATCCTTAGAGCGCTGCTCAATGCTGTAGTGCTGACGTGGCGGGGCGGAGATGCCATCTCCGTCAGTTGATGCGCGGAAGGCCTCGCGGAGATGGTCAATGAGTGCTGGGGGCAGGGGAGAGCATAGGAGGGGAGGGCATAGGCGGGGCAGGATCAGAGGGCGGAAGGCCTCGCGGAGATGCTGAATGAGCGCTGGGGGTGGGGAGGGGGGGCACAGGCGGGGCAGGAGGGGAGACGGCGGAGGCCTCGCGCAAAAATTAGATAAGCGTCGTGGACGATGCAAAGGGGAAAGATACGAGGAGCCGATGACTTCTAAGCCTCAGAAGTTTCATCGCTCGCGGATGAAAAGAAGAGGAGATGGGCTGTGAAAATGGGTCTACGCCGCCCGTCGCTCACCGCCCGCCGCCCACTGCCCGTCTCTCACCGTCGTACGGCAGCGCGCGGTGGACTTGCTCCGCAGTGAACACCCTCATGGCGCTCCTTGCATTCGCCGCCGACCTTTGGGACGTCTCACAACTCAACGCCCATCGCTCACCGCTCGTACCTAACCGCTCGTCGCTCACCGTCGTACGGCAGCGCGCGGTGGACTTGCTCCGCGGTGAACACCCTCATGGCGGCTCTCGCGGTCGCCGCCGATCGCGCTCGCGCAAAGCGCACAGCACAGCGTTTCTGGCCACCGAGCCTGGATTCCACGCCTCGGACTACGGCAATGCGGTTCGCGACGCGCCACGGATAGCGCAGCGCCTCCTGCATTGCGTGCGCGCAGGAGCTGTGTTATGTGCGGCACATGACATGCGCACAACCTGTAGAGCGGAGAGGAAATGTAGTGAAGCGCCAAAAATGTGGGGCTGCTTGGTGGCATTTGCAACCCGCTTGAGTGTGCTTCAGTATTTGTAACGTGACCAGAATCTTATTTTTGTTATCTGCATTTGTACTTTCGCGATTTTTTCGACGGGCTCGTATTTTGACGGGGTTTGAGATGGGTACAGTACGGTAAAAGTTGCGTCACGATCTCCAATGTTCACGTATCTTGTCCGCTTTACAACAACATTCACTTCTCCAATGTTCACAAAATCCGACCGCAGGAAACTCGAATTCCTCTCCCAGCAGTTGAAGTGGATTCATTATCAGGCACACACCATTCCCGTCGCGCCTCGGCTAGGCATAGCTGATTATAATGATTTAGGCGAAGCGACGGTGGCGAAGTGTGATCTGACTTAGGCCGTCGCGTAGCGTCGCACATCATCGCCGCTGGTTCTTCCATCGTTCATCGCCGTCGACTCCGGAGTCGGAGAATGGCTGCAGCAGGTGAACTCTTCGTTGAGATCATCTCCCTGCTCGTCCCTTACCTATAGCTGCAGCTGCACGCTTCGTTCAGCTGTGCCTAATAACCGAGATCACAACCAACTTTAATTGCCAAAACAAACCACCAGTGATAGTTATCTCTCCCCTTACGCATTTCCCTCCCGTTCCCTCTATTTCGCGTTTCCCGCGCAGAGCAGAGGTGGCGGAAGTCAGCGTGGGGGCTCTACCGGACGAAGGGGAGGACCGGCGGGAGATAGGGCACCTGGCGGTGTGGAGTGTCAGCTCCGCGAAACCCGGCAATGGCGTCGAGCTTCTGCGGGACGGCAAGGCGGACACGTTCTGGCAGTTAAGAACCGCTATATGCGTGTGAAACTGATGTTCAGAATCAATGAAATTGGTCTTCGTACTTAGACCCAGCAAGTGCTTGTGTATAATTTCGTTGTAAGTAACTTTTTGCTAAGTGCCAACATTTCGTCATCGTGTGTGTGCAGGTCAGATGGGTCACAACCACACCTTGTTAACATTCAGTTTCAGAAGAAGGTCCGGTTGCAGGTAAACAACCGGCTCCTGCAATAGCATGGTTACCAGTCCACCTTTCAGCACTGCATGGAGCCCATTCCTGGTGAATTTCTTCAAGGCTGCAGCACGTTCTGCAGCTCATTGGCTTCTCTGCTTCTGTCACGGCTCACCACATGTCAAGAGGTTTGCTTGGTGTTTCGCCCCCTCCCTTTCCAACCCGCCCCACCAAACCTCCACCCATATTCGCCATCAGCACGTGTCACTGCACGTCTACTTCATGCTGGACGAGAGCAGTGCGCTGTGCTCTACGTCAACCTGGTCTGTGCGTTTCCCCACTCACACCCCCCCCCGCCCTCCCCTATCAGCACGTGTCACTGCATGTGGATTTCAAGTTAGACGAGAGCTACACGCCCAACAAGGTGTCCATCCGCGCAGGGCGAGCACTGCGCCCCGTGCTTCACCCTGCTACCCCCCACTCATTTCCCCCACCCCCAATCCCCCTCCCAGCACGTGTCACTGCATGTGGATTTCAAGCTGGACGAGAGCTACACGCCCAACAAGGTGTCCATCCGCGCGGGCAACTCCTTTCACGACGTCAAGGTGGGTGCGTGGGGGCATGGCGGGCATCGCTGCTTGCATGTTGTCACCCTCACATGTGCTCCGAGCAGCGGTGGCACGTATGCTTCACATGTGCGCTGGACGAGAGCTACACGCCCAACAAGGTGTCCATCCGCGCAGGCAACTCCTTCCATGATGTCAAGGTGGGTGGCAGGCGGTGCTGCTACAGGTGGGTGGGTGCCTGGCAGGCAGTGCTGCTCACATGTTGCCATGCTCACATGTGCGCTGGACGAGAGCTACACGCCCAACAAGGTGTCCATCCGCGCAGGCAACTCCTTCCATGATGTCAAGGTGGGTGGCAGGCGGTGCTGCTACAGGTGGGTGGGTGCCTGGCAGGCAGTGCTGCTCACATGTTGCCATGCTCACATGTGCGCTGGACGAGAGCTACACGCCCAACAAGGTGTCCATCCGCGCTGGCAACTCCTTCCATGACGTCAAGGTGGGTGTGCGCGGGCAACAAGGTGCGCGATTACGCTGGTGGTGGTGGCGTGGCAACCATCGCTTGTTGATTTTGTTGTTGCTTGCAAGTTTCCTTCGCTCCTCTGCACTTCAAGGCACGAATGGCTCATGCGATGTGCTGTGCAATCGATCCGTGCGTTGATGGCAGGAGGTGAAGCTAGTGGAGCTGAACGAGCCATCAGGGTGGGTGCACATTCCGCTGCGACCCAGCGACATGATCATGGTTGCTATAGTGGCACTTCTGGTTCACATAGTAATGGCGCTTTCCGTGCACATGTGATGCGTTTCATGATGGCAGGAGGTGAAGCTAGTGGAGCTGAACGAGCCATCAGGGTGGGTGCACATACCGCTGCGACCCAGCGATGACAAGTGAGTGGCTGTGGGGAACTGGGGGTGATTCGAGTGATGACAAATGAATGTTAAGGCGCCCCAAAGGCTCAACGAGCCATCAGGGTGGGTGCACATACCGCTGCGACCCAGCGATGACAAGTGAGTCACCATAGGGGAATCGGTAGTGACCACACATTCCGCCCGGCTTCCTAACATGGGCCAAATATTCCACTACTGAAATTTAGTGGCTTAGTGGCCCTTCCATGCCATGCTCACCAAGCACTGCATGCCGCAATTCCCATCCCTCCCCCATCTGTACAACCCCAGGGAGTACCTGCGGGCGTTCTACCTGCAGCTGGCGGTGATCTCCAACCACCAGAACGGCCGTGACACGCACATCAGGCAGATCAACATCTACGGTCCGCGCCAGTGAGTCACTGCTGACTTCTTAATTCCCACCTACAGTGTATACGTACCACCACAGTACATCCTTTCATCTCAAACTACCAGAACGGCCGTGACACGCACATCAGGCAGATCAACATCTATGGTCCGCGCCAGTGAGTCACACTGCCCACATCGTGCCCCCATCCACAATTGCCATGCATCCCACCGTGCATCCTTTCATCTCCAACCACCAGAACGACCGTGACACGCACATCCGCCAGTGAGTCACACTGCCTACATCGTGCCCCCATCCACAATGGCCATGCACCCACCGTGCATCCTTTCTCGCCACCCACATCAACATCTATAGTCCTCGCCAGCCAGTCATTGCCCATGTGACGTTACTGTATGAGACTTTGAGACGGCCCATGACACGTTGCTCCATCACCACAAGCCCTTTATATTTTTTCCTATGTTTCACGCGGAATGCATGCACGCAATCCTTTTTTTCTCCGGCCTATGGCCTTCCACAAATAGCTGATATTTCCTACCATTCATGTGGCCACCTCTCTGTCCATTGCCGTCCATTGCAGGAACGTGGTGAGAGCAGTGGGAGTACCCATGGAGTTCAATACAGTGGAGTTTGGCATGTATGCTGCCGTTAGGTAGTGCTGTGGCCATGGTAAAAACACGTAATAACACCAAGGCTGGCTGTGATGTACAGTCCCATGCTACCGTGCTGTAATGAAACATGCAAATTACGGTAGCAATTATATACTGTAATCCAATGTTTGCATATTGTGGGGTGCAATCACACTAGGAACGTTCCTGTGGAGACACTTGTGTCTCAATCCTTTTGTGACGCGTAAAAACATCTTAAAACGTACAATGTCACAAACGCGAGTCGCCCTTGTGCGACTTTTACTGTATTTTTCATTTGTCAGCGTGAAACGCGCTGATGTCGCGGACGAGTTGCATATTGACCCGTCACTGTCGACAACTCTGTACGCGGTTCGAAATGTCAATGCACCTGGACACCCCACAGTAAAAATCGCGCGCGGGAAAAAAGTTCCGCACCTCAAAACCCCACCCGAACCAGACAGTTGAAGAAACAGGTGTACAGTCAAGTTTGAAATCCAATTAAGAAAAAGCTTGCTTTCTGTTCCCTGCAAGGCAACGTGCTTCATTTCAATGGGTTATTACAACATTCTCGTCAAACGATCAATGACACATGATAGTACCGATGGGGGGCGGGTGGGAAGTGGAACGGAAGTTCCGAAACGAAGACGTGGGTGGAGGCCTAATGGCCTCCAACCCTCGTTATGTACTCGGAATGAAGTTCAGCAGTTGCCTTGCTGCGTTACAGGCAGCTGCGCGTTCACAATATATATTTTTGAAAAGTGTATACACTTTCAAAAAATTCCATATTGAGAAAGCTT